TATATCTCACGCCGACAACAACACATCGCAAACAAGAAATGACATCGAGGTTCCTCTCTCTTTCCTTCTCGCTGCCATTAACGCGTCTGCGCGTACCTGCAACTTCGAACGCCTCCCCCGGCCAACACGATGACCAGTTATGCCTCGACAATTCGTGAGAAATCCCACGATACCGACTTTTCTGCGCGGGCCCAATGATATTCCTGCGAGATATTCAACGGGACAGTTAAGAAATATCTTACGGACGAAAATGCGTCCGTTCCCTTTACGTTTCGTCCCGACCGACGTGCTCTCGAAAGATCAGTCAGTGAATTGTCACTGAAAACAGTGACTGTTCGCTGTTTCCAGTGATAATCCGCTGATTGACTTTTAGAGAGTGTACGACTCTGGCGTCAGAATAGAACAGGAGCACCTCGATTGGAAAATGAACTAGGATATAATCAGTACGTGGCCGAAGACTCTTGGCAGGTACTGGCCGTATTTTGACGTTATTTCTATTTGAAATGGCATATCAACTTTGTCTCTTCCAATTAATAAATAAAAACTGCTAATGTGGACGAAAAGAGAATACGATATGCCTATTAAGATTCTAATTTTGCAAAATTAATATTAATTTAATAAGATGTTTATTTTTAGCACAATGGAGTCGCTGAAATAGTCTACGTATATCTTATGGATTGGAAATTTTTGATATCTTTCTCCTATTTCTTCACTTGTTGTGCATAAAACGCGTCATTACTTCAACGGAGCCACTACCTCGGCGCACGGAACAAATTATTTACCCCGAGAGAGAATGGGGAGAATAGGTAATTTACAATTACTCACGTAACTCCGGGCGTTTCGTGTCTGATCATTATTATACGAGCCCCATCGTTTTCGCGAAGCCAATAGTGTGCCCCTCGGGTCTTCCGTCTACCCGTTCGCGAATCAATTTTTTCCCTCCACGAGTGGACGTATGAAATTAAAAAAGAAACTCGTACGCGCGCGAGTCGGGGGAGAAGGAAGGGGAATACCCGCAAGTAATTCGATCCAAGCAGCACACGTGTGCCTCGCACTTTCCGCCAAGACGCTTAATAGAACAATGCACCTTCGATGCGGCAAGATTGCACAGCCCGCTTGATGGCTTTATGTCTTCCGCATCCAGGGATGCAAATCATCCGAATTGTCACACATTACGAGCGTATTACAGTGATCCCACGGAAGGATAACCTTAATAAGCGCGCAGCAAACTGCAGGTATCCAGGTAGGCGTCCCTCGATCGACGGATCGTCTTTAAATCGCTGGTAATCATCTCGTGCGTTCGTCTCGTTGCTCTTAAATAGCGTCAAGCCGATTCAGTTGAAGCTACATCTTCTCTGCCGCCGAGACGTCAACTTTTAGAGCCGCACGAAAATTCATATAATGACTCTTTCAGGTTTGTCTATACTTTTAATATTTTCAACCGCTTTCCCCGGCATACTTTTGAAACAATTTTCTTTATGCACGTCTCTAAAATGTGTCTTTGTACGTGAATATATTAATTTTCTATTACATAACTTGATTTTTTGTATTAGCGATAGTATATTTATAGTCATAGAAAGTATCGTATACATTCTCGGGGAAAAAATGGAAAAATCTCACTATATATGTCTCAATCATGTAATATCCAATCATATCTCGTGAGATCCAATTCTAAAATTCAGCAGATCCTCAGAGGTTTGACACTTTTCTCGAATGTTCGGGATTATCCATTGAGATCCACCTAAATCTAATTAAATGTTCCATTAAGACACTTAATTAGAACTCAATAGACATAACTTCGAATATTTAAGAAAAGTATCGGATCTTTGAAGATTTGATGATTTTAGAATTGGATATAATTAGATATTACATGACTGAGACATATACAATGAGACATTTTTATTTTTTCCCGGGTTGTCACTAGTTTTTACATTGGTTCGGTTAAAATCCGTGCATGAAAGATTATGTTACGACAGTATCGTTAATAATTGACAATTAAATAGCAGCTTAGTGACGCCAGTCAAGAAATCAAGAATTTTAATAAGTATGGAAACGACCTTACTGGCAATTCTTTACATTCCTCCCCTTCCACGTTTCCTTATAACTCCTGCACATGACTTTAGGCTTATCTATCGCTTATTCTGTTTTCCAACGTTGTACAACGAAATTTCTCACTTCTAACTTAATTTTCACATCTCTAATCTGACGAATCTTGTAAGTTTTATAATATTATATAAGATAACACCTTAATTTTTTTTTCCGTTGTGTAAGAACTTGCCCTAATTTAGTTCATATTTCGTTTATCTATTCTTCAGACTCTTGTAAGTTTGTTACCTGAAGAGGACCAGTATTGCTGGCCGAAACGTTGTGTTTTATTGTAATAAAGAATTGCCAGTAAGGTCGTTTCCATGCTTATTAAAATTGTTAATAATTAACTTGACATATCTTGGTCTAAAAAGCAAAGTAAAAAAGATTAAAATACTGTAATGTAGCAAGACTACTAATGTTGTGCGGTTTTCAAGAGAATTGCAAAATATCCGTGTATAAAAAATTCGTTAATAATATCAAACCTTACACGTTTTTGGCAGTGAACCCCTTGCTGGTCAAGAAAGTCATTCTGAATCGACCTGACGCGTATCGCGAGCCACAAGGGTCACGAGGGGAGGCCCGTTTGGGCCCGGCGCGATGTGATCTTATTATACCGCGAAGCGATGATGACCGTGTTTAGGTGTTGGCTTGCCAGATTTAAGAATACACTTCGTGCCTGGACGATTATGGTAACGAGGCCTCTTTAGTCACGTTGACGTGCACCTTGTTCGCGAATAAGGCGCGATATCCCGTACACGCACGGCGACCTGCACCGGTCGCTCGGTTCGCCTCCTTATTGAAACTTTGCGGTTGCCAGCCACGATGGCGGTTGCCAGACGGAAAACTGTCAAGGATCGTTAGCGCGCCCGATAGATAATACATTCGGCATCGGTCTCTCATTATTTTCGCATCAAATGTATAATACAAAAATGGATTTAATCCATTGAAGGGTTCTCCAATATTTCAAGTGGTGAGTAATAAGCGAACCTTCGTGTAGTAAATCCAGTTACACGTAGCTTATTTCATTTGTCTCTCACTTGGACACATCATTCACTTTTGCTAATAAGTTTATCTATAAAGTAGATAAAATGGAAAAAAACAGTAGACCTATAATCATTTTGTGAAAATCTTGAGACTTGTATCTCAAGTTAAACAGGTATAAACATTGGACCTTTATTGTTAGAAATGTATCAATCGAAGACTTTCAGATTTATTTAATCAATAGAAACGGGAGAAATGCACAATTCAATTCGTTAATCAATTTCATTACGTGAGATAATTAATATATGTATATATCAATTTTTTTAGAGCATCTCGATTTTATAAAATTCTAATATTTAAATAGGAGAAAATGTTGTCCGAGAGTCTACTTTCTGCTCTTTTCAAATTAATTTTCGTGCCGGCGTACAGATTAATAATGACTTCATACCTGGGGAAACTCGATTTACCGATATGTCACACATTACAGCCGTATTACGGTGATTCGCGCGCGAGATAGCTATAATAGCCAGGATCCCAAAAATGCAGGTATGCCGAGGTCGAGGGAACGCTCGCAAAATCATCTCTTAAACTGCCGATAATTTCTTACGTCGTGCTGGGCCGGTCTTTTTTCCCGAGGGTTGAGGTAGACACAAGTGTATCGTGTGCGAAATTCATTGCAACGGCGAATCCTCGTATCGGGCCAGCGCATCTCAGTGTACTTTGATGCACGCGGCCGTTGAGATTTTGCATTTAAATTCACGCAGAGTCCCCCGCGATTTTAAGTCCCCTTTCAATCGATATACGCGAGCCGGCGAATAACATTCGTAATATTTTATTTTGCATAAATAACCGTTAAAAGCGGTCGTTTTATTAAGTTATATTAATTTATTTTTACCGCATTAAATAAGAGAAAAGTCAATAAATGGCGGAGAGTGTGACAAATGACCGGGTTTACAAATAAAGTGTAATTTACGCGAAGCGCCGCGCGACAAATAATTTATACGTTTCAGTTTAAGCTTTTGCATTTATTGCAAAAACATCGTGAAATTAAATCGCGCGCATAATTACTGTTATTACGCGATAAGATTATATTTTGCTTTCATTTCCAGTGCGGATAATTGAAATATTATAATTGCTAATATAAGTGAAAAATCAATTTCCGTCTTCGTTTTTTAATTTCGGTATTATTCCAGATGACGTATTTCTGTTAACGATTTAGCATGTACAGCGATGGACAGAAAGGTTGCGACACTTCTTTTAATGAGTTTAGAAACGCGCGTTTAGGTCTACGTTCCAAAACATGTTCTCTGAGGAAAAATTTTACTTGAGAAATAGATCAAAATGGTTTCGGAATAGCCACGGAGTAAAATATTCCTCGGAGATAAAGACTTTGGAACGTAACCCTGAATCTAAACGCACGTTCCTAAACTCACTAAAAAAACTGAAACTACACAGCGATGGACAGAAAGGCTGCGACACTCTTTTTAATGAGTTTAGAAACGCGCATTTAGGTTTACGTTCCAAAACGTTTTCTCTGAGAAAATTTTTACTCGAGAAATAGATCAAAACTGCTCAAAATGTTTTTGGAATGGCCATGGAGTAAAATGTTCCTCGGAGAAAAAGACTTTGGAACGTAACCCTGAATTTCAATGAATGTTCCTAAACTCAGTAAAGAAAAAAGTGTCGCAACCTTCCTGTCCATCAACGTATACGTACGCAGTGATGTCTTAATTTTTAATGAACCAGAATCTAGATCTTGATCTTTCTAAATTGTACAGAAGATCTTCAGCGCTTTGGTACGGCTGGAGATTATCGTCGAAGTGGCCGAAAAATCTGTTATTAGAGATTCACAACGGGAACGTGCAAGCGAATCGTATAAATATTTCTCCTCTGTCACCAATAATCAATCCCTTCGTTTTCTTTTCATACAGACAGGAGAGGGTTAACAACCTAGCCGGGGACAAGGAGGATGAGCGAGGAACGGCGGAGAAAATAAGCGGACATCGCGGGAGGAAGATCGAGCAACAAGATCTCACGAGGTATCTCGATAAATCCCCTTCGCTGGACAAATAACGACAAGGCTCATTACTATAAACACGTCTCGCGCGCGGTCTCTGCGTGTGGCGCGTCGGGTTGCCGCGCTCTCCACGGCCATTTATTTTTATATCCGCGTGTCTCCCTTGTTCGTTATTATATTATCCAGCGCGCCCGTCCCAATCGCGCGTCGCGCGACCGACATTTTTGCGTCCCGCACGAATATGAAGAATGCAACGAGAACAACTGGAGACCCGTGCGCCTGCACGGCCGCGAAAAGACGTCGCGTTGGCAGATGACAAAGTTTCTGCTGCATAAAATTTCTTTCGAATGCCTTTTCGTCCGTCAGCTGCCCAGCTTTCCCGGCATACAATCTTTTGTGACAGTTAATTGCAAGCACGAACTTGCATTGTATTGCAATTAAAGCTGAGCCAAGCGTGAAATAATAATTACAGTCTCTATTTTGCAAAAATGTTTGCAATCTTCTACTCGGTAACGTCAGTAAAAATAATTATCGCAGCCGCGAGATATAATATTTATATATTATAGCAAACAATAATCTGTATCTTCTGTTGTCGATATGATAATTGTAAGTAGAAAGTGATCTTCGCCGCCCTTTTCCCTGTACTTTGCGCCTTGTTATGGTTAAACTAGAAGCGCGACGTCATTATCTGACCTTTATTTATTCGGTAGGTAATGTAAACCGAAGCCCTGGCACCACCGACATCGATATAACGTGTCTGCACGGCAGCCCAATCGATACGTCAATTAATTTTTGAAAGGAGGTTGCTCTCGACTAATTTAAATGGTCAGACGGGACATGGGGAACTGATGTGTGTACTACACACAGACACGGGCGTTCAAGCACCTGGCGGTTTCCTTTCCTTCCAACCCACATTTTTACTAAATATTATCGTGACTATGTCGATATATTTCGACGCTACGAGATGTGCAGATAAATAATTTTGGTTATTCGCGTATAGAAAAAATGTTTGCATGGATATAATAGATGTTGCTTAAATATAAATTGCAAAAATTCAATAAATTGCATGAAAAAAATATACGAATGTAGAAATAGGACACACTGAATATAAATATGTAGACATATTAATATTTCGGTGAAATGTTGCCACTTTGTACTTCGCTTTGCCATTTTGTATCTCAAGTGGCGTTGATCGAAAGTTACAATTGCCACAAGTCAATACTATGAACCGTTTTGATTCTAAAAGGGTTAAGAGTTCAAATTATGGGCAATGTTATCAAAGATTGACTTGTGGCACTGATAACTTTCGAACAGTATCACCTGAAATACAAAATGGCAAAGTTTCAGCCAATTTCGCCGAAATCCATTTCCCATAAAGTTAGTGTGGAGTCCCTTAGTTAAAAAATAGATATATAAAATTTGTGTATATCAGTTCGAATTTATTTAAAAATAATCTTTCGAGGAATATTTATAAATTTAAAAAAACATTTATGATGAAACGAAAATGCATTTAGTATTTTTTATACAATATAAATTCAACTTATATTCACGTCGCGTTCAATTTACATTGACGCAACATTTTTTACGACAATCACATCGCTTCGCAATATCTCTGCGAAAACTGTTATCCCAATATTTCTGAGAAAATTGCTTCGTAATACCCTTGTAAAGCTCACTTCCTTTGCGAATATTATTTGATGGCAATCGCAATATTAAAAGCGTATAAAAAAATCGCATTAGTACTTAGAAGTTGCAACATATTTTGCAAATAAAACAGATAAAACGGAAAATACATTCTTGCAAAAGTATTAAAATTTGCGAAATAAAATTTGTGTTATCTATTCGATAAAGAAAAGCCAATCGCACGTACATTAAGCAACCGGGAATACGTGGATGATAAATCGCAAATTGAAAATTGCAGTAACAGCAAAATCGTTTTACACCGAATATTATTGATCATCTTTGGAAAGAAAATTAAGCGAAAATTAATGGCACTTATGCAAATCTAACGAAATTTCTATTTCTATTCAGAAATAATTGTGATGAAGAAGTTATGAAAAGAAAATTATAGAAAAATTAGATCTTTATACATCAGTTTGTTCGAAATAATTTCAGTGAAACTTCGTAATTTCCCTGATTCTAAAATACTCTATAAAATTCTTTTTTCTCCGATACTGTTATTATATGGAAAATTAAAAACTGAACAAATAAAGAAACGCGAAATATATTAACAAACGTAAAATAATTGTAACTTTTTATTTATATTTATGATTTTTTTGTGATTTGTAAAGTTCAAACGTATGCGCCAAATTTTCTACGTTCAAAAAACTTTATGCCAAAATTTGAAACATCGAGAGCAGATGAGTATCTAATATAAATAAATAACATAATGTAAATCATATTTATGTTTATAACATACTAATTATATTTTATATAGGAGATTAATCTCAATATATTATTAAAATAAAAAGTTTCAAATTCAATATTAATTCAATAATTAAAATAAATAAAAATTCAATATTAAAATATGTATTAAAATATATATATAGAATTATAAAATTTGTAAAAATTATGAAATATCACAGTATTCTTTTCACTTTGTGTGAATTTAATGGCATCGTATGGATTTGTTTAATTTGTTAAAAAATTGTTTTAATTTATACTTCCAAATACTATAAAAGCTTTTAACCTATTAATGCATATTGTACAAATCGTATTGATAAAGATATGTCATATAATATCATTAAAATAAGATAACAAATAAATAGACGAGAGAGAGAGAGAGA